CCCGCGCACTGCCTGACTGAGCACTCCTTCCAACTGCAGCATCATGCGTGGGCAACTGATCCTCTTCTTCAGTGCACACTAGGTCCTGGCCATCTTCAAAGTGGTCAGAAACTGAACTCTGGGAATCATCTGCATCGGTCATTTTGAGCTTTCAAAGTATCCTAAAATTAAAAAAATACACACACACACACACACACACAATAAGACACTCACACCTGAAAGAATCTTTTCAGTCTCTACAACTACTACTGAATATTATTACAGAATTAACTCAACTACATGCAGCCAAATAACGTATATATTGCTGCAAGTGAAAACATGCATGGTGCACGATTGACAGGTGCACCAGGAAACATTTCTATTTAAGGTGAAGGTGGACACAGCACACTTTCAGGAGTCTACAATATATTAAAAAGGCCCCATCTGTATCAGATGCATCAACAACTGTATCCTACTTTCATGGTATCAAATTTCCTGACAGTACTGTACCAAAAAATCTCCTACACCTCCCAGTATTTGTAAGGATTACAAATAATTATCTGCCAAAAACCTCACTTTATCCAATTGTATTTCAAAAACTTTATGATGTAGCACCTGGAAGACAGGTACGGTACTACAATTTGAGTCAGGTATTGCATTTTAAAGCAAACAGATGCTCCCAACTCATTTGGGCAAAAAAGAAAGCCTGCAAGACGCTTTAGTTAATCAAGTGCACCCCGAATCAGTGATTCATAGCCAAGCTAGCGTGAGGTATGAAGAGGTAAGCAGATGAGCAAGTAAATAAACCTAGGCATGCCTGGATGATCCCCCACACCCACTGCTTAGATCCTTTGAAATGGAGTGAGGGCTGGGATATATACATTAGCTTCTGAAGTCAGGTGGCACTCCTTTCACAGAAGTTATGAAGGTTTGCTTCCAGTCCAAAGTTGAGCACCACTGGCCTAAACAAAAGTCCCCTTAATATTTTAATTCAGTAACCAACCTATAGCCTGAGCGCTGTCATTTCCAGCAGCATGCAATGGGAGTGAAAGCCTGCCCAGGATCGTTTGGTTAATATCGATAGTAAAGGCTGGCAGTTGTGGCCAGTGTTAATTTTAAATCCTCGGCATTAGCGACTGGAGAGAAGACTCCCTCGGGCAGCAAGAACGGCCGAGACACAAGGCACAGGCAGCACGCGACTGCTCGCTTCGCTTGAAGCGATTTGGAAACTAGGAGGGAAGCACGAATGCCAGAAGAGCTCGGGGGAAAAGCTAGGTCTCCCTGTAACAGCGGACATGCGGCTCCCACGCGGCCCCGGACGGAGCGCGCCCACAAGCCGCCGCTCTCCCGAAGGCTGGAGCGCCGCCCACAGCAACGCCGGGCGGACATCGCTTACACGCTCAGAAGAGCCGCACGGGCCGCCGGGCCTGACCGCTGCTAGGCAGCAGCGCGGCGGGGAGGGACCAGCGGCGACTACCGCGCGCCTCGCCTCGTCCCGTCCCGTCCCGTCCCGTCCCGTCCCCAAGCCGTATCACGCGGGTGCTCCCGCAGCCCCGCGCTAGTACCCCACCACGTACTTACCCCGTCTGTACAGAGACCGCGCAAGCGCTTTCCGGCGGCTTAAAAAGCCGCTGGATCTCGCGAGACTCCGCCGGGCGAACGTTGGGCAAGGCGTGCCAGTCTCGCGGGAGCGGGTCGGAAGCGCTGCCAGGCTGGCGGGGGCGGGGCTCCGAGGCGGAGGTGGAGGTGGAGGCGGGGCTCGGGCGCGGCCGCGGGCGCGGGCGCCTGAGTCGGGGTGGGTAAGTGCTGGAGGGCGCGGACTGGTTGCGTCGGGGGCTCGGGGCCGGGGTGCCGCCCGAAGCGGTGGAGCCAGGTGGGCCCCAGGGCGAGGCACAGACACCCCTACTGCTCGCGCCCGCGTCTCTTGTGGGCAGCCCCCTTGTGCTTGATGCGCCGCTGGCAGCGCGATGCCAGGGTTGTCTCGACCATGAATGACTGGAGGGGGAAGCCGACCCCTGCGAGAGTACAAGCACTTCCCAATGGGAGGGTGGCAGCTTCGCAATTTGTGGTGAAGGGCGATTGCTCTCGGGCTTTCCCCCGAGCTTGCTCCTGTGGCCGTTTGGGTGGAGGCAGGCGAGACTCAGGGGTATCTGGACCCCAAGGGCTCAGGCTAGGACGCCTGCTGCGGATTTGGGAGTATATGAAGACCCAGGCTAAAGGAGGGCACTTGCTGGTAGCACCACACAGACACGAACCACTGAGCCCTGTTCGAAATTAGGAACTGATTTGGCCAGAAACACAACATTTAAAAAACAAAAAAAACCCCTCACAGTTGTCTGGTCTTTTGGCCAGGAGCAAGCAAGGCAAGGGGGCAGCTGAACCCCGGGGTCTGCTCATAGGATGCCTGCCACAGATTTGGGGAGCATCCAAAGCCCCAGACTGATGTGCCTGGGAGGGAGGTTACTTGCCTGGTGGTTGAGCCGCAGACTTGAACCACTGAACTCTGCTCGGTTGGATTTGGGACTTGACTACTGGGGCTTTGCCCAGTTGGAATTGATTTGGCTGACTCGGCCTTGGACCGAAATATATTAATTGGATTTTTTTTTTTT